CCTCGACCTGCCAAATCTAATGGAGACAATGCACCAGCATGAAAAAAGAAACCACGTAGATGGAAACTGCACTGTTATGGCTAGGAAACTCTTTAAACCAACCCTACAGGTCTTTTCAGCACCAGCAGTGGTAGAGAAAGGATATGCAATGGCAGGATGCGGTAGAAGGGCCGTCGGGTCTTGCCACAAGCTCAGGGTGTTATGCTTTTACACCTCAAAACTACACCGGTGGTAGAGAAAGGATATGCAATGGCAGGATGTGGTAGAAGGGACATCGGGTGTTGCCACAAGCTCAGGCTGTTATGCTTTTACACCTCAAAACTACACCATGAAAAATAAATCTGGCACAAGTAAGCATAAACTCACACATGCTTACACACACTTATAGAAAACATGTCTCAACCACAAATACTTTCTACTATGTTTGACCAGTTGGATGATCGCTTCCATAACAACATCTTTGACATAGCACGTCAAAGAAAAAGTCATGGATGATGTGTTCGCACATTTTAATAAGGCATTGGTCTTTGCTGAACTGGCTCACACAACTTTTTTTCCATGTGCTGGGAATACCACCATTGACTCTTGGGCAAAAACAAATCAAAAAGTTTGGATATTTGGGAACTCCCAGCAGCTGACTTCCTCTAGCCTGCAGGGAAGGCCAACAACAAACAGTCTGGTACAGAGTGGAAAAATGTGGACTGTTTTGTTAAAATTGGTGCCTGACACACAGCAAATGTCAGTGGAGTAACCACTCACGAGTTATTCTGCAATTATGCTTGGTACCTATCGGCTAGATTGCCCCTTCTTTCGGGTAAACTCTTCGATCTCTAATAATAAGGAAAATCACTTTGCTTGTTAGCAGGTTATACAGCAAAAGTGAGCAAGAGACCCTGTCATTTCCTTACTCCCTGGCTGAGCCATACCTAGCACAAATATCCTGAGAGAAAGCTCTGGGGAAAAGCCAGGCTTGTTGAATGCACGCGAACTGCACTGTTTTTAAGGTGATATCATTCCTCCCACTGCTTGGCCCACGCTGTCTTGATGTGGGTCAGACTGTAAATGACACAATTTGGTTGCCACTGTGCTAACCTCTGCATTCCTCTGACTCTGAGGGAGAAAGTCTCTTCTTCCTTTCTCACCTGGCTTCAAATGTAAGTCTCATGAATGCTGTGGATTTAGTGTGTAGTTTTATAATTGTGGTTTTATTTGAATTGCCGCAAAAATGTTGGGTGAGATTAAACACAGGCTTCTCCTTTTGAAGAGGTCTGTGCTTAATATGACTTTTACACCCTGTTTTCTCACTAACTTTTAATTTTTTTCTCCTTTGAGTCTAGTTGCAACTCCAGCTCCTATACTGCAGTTGTGAGAGCCTTTCCTTGGTACTGTGCTAAGTGATATTTACGCATAAACTTTTGCTAATTGCTGATTCCATTGGCATTCATGAACCTACGCTGGAATGAATGAAGCTTTCATTCATGTTTATATATTAGTTTCCAACATTTGTATGTTTGTAATCATCAGGCTAAAACCAGCTTTCATTTGCAGAGATGTAAACTGGAGGTAACTCAGTCAGGAGGTATAGTCTATTATGTACATGGAAAGATTTTTTCTAGTATCATTAAGAGATTATCACAAAAAATTCCTAATTCCATAACTCGATGTAGTTTGTTCAGGACTGGTAACTGTGGTTACAACGACATTAACAAGTTGTTTGGATCAACAGAAATCAATCTCTAGAGCTCATTTTGTGCTAGGGATCTGACACAGGCACTTCTACAGGTCCCTAGGATTCTTAGTTCAGATAAGCTCTAAGGTTGCTCCCATGCAGTAATGCTCTATCACTGCTGCAGCTCACCTCCCAGGCTACCTCTGTCCAAAGAGAATCCAGGTCAGGACCTGCGGTGCCCTTCCTGCTGCAAACCCGTGCTCAGCAAGCGGGGTTGCACGTTGCCTGAAAAGCGCTCTTAACGAACGAACACACTAACACAGACACACCCTATGCGTAAATTACAGAGACTTACACAATTAGAATATCTCTGTGGTAATCCCTAGCCATCAACAATTTTCCCAGCCATATAATTGCTACTATTAACAACACAAGTTCCCAATTTAACAAATGGAAGCAAGATAAATGCCCACATCATTCTGGCTTCTCCCAGCTTTATGATTCACAGCATAGCAATCTGTTGCCTTTGGTCTTTTAGAAACAGTGCCTATGTGATAATTTTAATGACAATGCAGCACTTCTGGTCTCTTCTGGATATCTGAAGGCTTTGATTTTTTTATCATGGAGGAGGTTCTGACAGTCAAGAGAATTGGGTCTATCATACCCCAAGGACCTGTACCTTATTCTCTTCCACTCAGCTGTCCATGTCCTTCCTCACTTTTTACACTTAGCAATAGGTAACTCAGCACAAAGACCGAAAACCAAGTAGAACACCTAAACAGCCTGGAATCAGCAAGGAGAGGAACCAAGGAGGTTTCTGGTGTAGCGCCATGGGAAAGGATGGGTGGTAGGAAGAGGTGATGTGATACATTGCTTAGATTTTCTGTGTCCTTTAGCATTGCTGCCTTGTAGGGGAACAGCTGCAACTGCTTTCGTCCAATACTCTACCATCTTTTGGCATTGGCTTTGTTTTGAATGCCTCCAGCATGGGAAACCAGGCTTCCTGCCTCCCTGTATTCAGAAATTTTGTTAGTCCTTTCTTCATGTCTTGCCATGCTGCTGCAAAAAAAGCATTACCTGTGTGCATAGCCTTTTTATTATTATCCTTCATCCTCCTCTGAAACTGTTAACATGTTATTGCTCATCAGCTGCTTCATAGGAATCACTTATGTACATGCTTTGAATCTCACTTGTCCCTGAAGTGTAGATTATGTCAAGTAAAACTACTTACCCTTAGATAGCAGACAAAGTCCCAGACAGACAGTGGGCCAAGACGTAGAAGATGGTATTGCCCTAAAACCACTGTAATTACATGCATTCAACAAGCCTTTTCCCAGAGCTGTCTCTGGGGATGTTTGTGCTATGTATGGCTCAGCCAGGCAAGGAGAGGACAATGTCTCTTGTTCCCTTTTGCTGTCTAACCTGCTAACAAGCAAGGAGATTTTCCTTGCTATTAGAGATCTGAGATGTGGATAGCAAACTGATGGCAACCACTCATATAGTTTGTCCATAGTAAAAGGACAGCTATATTGTCCCAATCCTCGATCACGCTGTCTGCCCAGCAATACTGTTTTGAGTAATTCTTCAAGAGTCCAATATTCCAGATGGTAACAGTTTCTGTAAGCAGTTTTTCCATATGGGTCATGAAAAATGCTCAAAAAAAAGGGAGAGGGGGATGTCAAGGTAACTGATAATGTTTTTATGCAGTGACTAAACAGATACTGAACTGTGGCTTTTGAAAAGGTGGTATGTTTGCACAGCCTAGTCTTGGTCACAGTATCTGCACACACATCCCATTACAAAGCAAAGTGCAAATTCATTGATAAGCAGTAACACAGGACTCAGACTCACACAAGTCCTTTGTACAGGATAATGCATTTGTAAATACAAATTTCCCTCAATCAGTGGGAAATTCTGAAAAAGCAATACTCCTCCAGTTTGTTTTTAGGCCAAATCTACCAGACATAAGATTACTAAAGCCTCAGTCATTATCATTACAATGAGGAACAACTTCAGTCAACTTTAGATACACTTTCAGCTTCCTCAGACTGCCAGCTGTATCTTGACAGAGTTTATAACTGAAGGTTAGGGCTTACTTTGTTCAGAAAAATCAGGGAAGACTGGGGTGCTACAAAAGCCTGTGATCACACAGATGTGAGAAAATAAGACAGACCCTGGTTTATTCAGCTTCACACAGGTCACGTGATATAATTAATTTCAAATGGTTTTGGTCTCTGTACTGAAACTTCCAGCAAAAGATTTAAACAATGTAATAATTACCTTTTTCCTTTCATGATCCTTCTGACTATGCCTTAATTTATGATGCTTTTAACTAGCATACATGTATCCTGAGGCTATGATGGGTGCACATTTATTTAAGTCAAAAGATAAATCTTAATGAAAGGGTTTTTTAACACAATAATTAACGTATTTTGATCATCATAACAGTAATTATTAGAGGCACAAAAACAGAATCAGATCTCAGAAGAAGCCATGAAGATCCTAAATAGGGTGGAGTAGCAGCACTGCCCTATTATTTTGCCAAGAAATGATACATCAAAGTGGCAACAGTGAATCATCATACAGTACTAGGAACTACACCCAGCGAATCCAAGAGATGGAAATACTAGATGCACTAACCTCCATCATAAATTGCAAATTATAATCTCACAGCAGATACTGCGCAATATGCCTTTTCTCATAGTTATCAAGCCGTGCTCTCCTTATGGCTCCCCCAAAATGATCGCTCATCAGATTAAAAGAAAAAAACAGAAGAACAGCAAAAAGTAGGAATTTTGACTTGATATGAAAGGTCCATCTATTTTTAAGGAAACAGTTTTATTTTGTGAAGGATTATAAACTCTCAGTCTGTGTCAAATAACCCAACTGGGCAGCCTTGTTCTTTCAGAAACCTCTTACCCTGCAAAAACCCCACATTTTTATGGGATTATACACATGATAGGAGGCAACATGAGCAATGAAAAGAGCACAGACACTCTTACCTGCTTTCATACTCTCCTTAGCAGAAATGGCTAGTATTCTGATTTCCTGCCCAGCTATTAAATCATTGTACCCATACGCACACGCAGGCAAACACTAAGTTGCAGGCAGAGCTTTTGCAATGACACACAGTACAGAAGTCAAACAAAACTGAAAACATTTTTAACAAAGCATCCTACTCATTTTACTCTTGTGTCAGATTTACTTTAAGAATTAGTTTCCCCAAACTAAAAAAAGTTTAACGATACGCAAGGGGACCTCATATAAAAGAAGATGCCAGCAAAAAGAGAGGAATAAAGAGTTCCTTAAAGAAAAGGATATAGCATGGTACCTTTTCCAGTCAAAGTTTCTTCTTGTATTTTCCTCACTGCTTCTTGGCCTTCACTCTCACTGTTTCCAGCTGTAACAATACATAAAAAGGAAAATTAGTGATGCAATCAACCTAAGGACAGTGAATATAAGCATGCCACTATGAAGTGCTAACCACAGCGTAAAACCAGTATGAATTTTTAGGTGAAAAGGCATGATTCATTACTGTCAGGCAGCAGAGGTTTTTGAAGAGGGCTGTACAAAAGCTGTGCTGTTCACACAAGTTCTGACTGTTTATCTCATTTATTCATACAAGATAGGACCATCTGCTGGCTGGACAAGCAGAACTGAGATACGAATCTGTGAGCCAAGTGAATTATATCACATCCAGATTTCACAGAAGCTTCACTATAGGTTAGAGTGAACCTCCCCACACTCTTTTTCCAAAATAAAGACTTCCACGGTTGGAGGAACAGCCCCAGTACCGTGGCCCAAATGCTCAGGAAAAGTTTTACTAGCGTTAACATAAAATGCGATTAAACATCAAATAATTGCCTTTTGTGCCATTCAGCTTAGGTGGACAGTCAATAATTGTCTGACATTTATTTGTCAATTTTTTTAAATAATAACTTATATCAAAGGAAAAAACACAAACAAAAAACCACGCTTATTAGTACAAGTTAAATTTTTCAAATTAAGTTTAGCATTACAATTATCCATCCACAAACATTTTCTGTAGCATGACACATCAAAATACCTATTGTTTATATCTAAATTGGATATAAATACTGGTATCTTATGAACTTTATGAAGTTGCCTTCTTCTTTTCCTGATTATATAAACCTCTGCCTTAGTTTCTATACAGGCTCTGTCTTGTGCTGCTCTGTAAGTGTCCCGTCCTCTCATTCACTTGTTAGCTATGCAGCAGAAATTTCAGGTTTTCTACTTTTTTCCTCACTTATTTTAGTAACAGCAAATCAACTCTATCAACACAAGGAAAGAATTGCAGCATCACAGAATAAGTTGAAGTTGGGAGGGACCTCAGGAGGTCACCTGGTTCAATCTGCTCACGTTAGTTGTCATAGATGCTCCTGTTTACTTTAAGATGTTAGAACACACTTTATTAAAGTGGATTCACCTGATCTCACAAAGAATGTGTTCAAAAAGAGGGAGTAAGCCCTTTGAAGCAGATCAGGTGTCATCCATTGGTTACACTAGCTGAAAGCGCAGAGTACTGAATGGAGATTTTTGGGACCACCTGACCACTTGGAGGAGGTAGGCTAGTGCATTCTTTTGAGGATGGAGCTTTTGCTGTGCTTCTGCAGTAAAAAACAATGATTTGCTACACATCTTTGTTTTCATGACATGCAAGAAGACTCAATATTTACATAAATGCAGCCAAAATAAAGACATTTAGTACTCCAGATACTGAAGAGAAAATAATTCTTACATAAAACATAAAGTCATACTGGTCTATAACTGTTCTCTAAAATTTCCATTAACTATGGAATCATACTGCTTAGACTGACCAAGAAAGAAAGAAAAGAAAAGAAAAAAAAAAACCTAAAAAAAAAACCAAAACCAAAACAGACATTTGCTGTATTTTCTTCTTGCTGTTGTTTTTTTTTTTCCCCTTTAAAACCACCCAGCCCTGTACAGAACAGAAACATTCAGCTTGATGCTAATTTCCAGATATAGATGCAGCATCAACAAAAAAGCCCTCCAGTGAAACTGCCATTTCTGGCGAAATCTGTGTACAGGGGTTATGGGCAAGAGATCAATTTTCCTCACTGTTCCACCCCAAGTGACGTCCTAGAGTAAGATTTCAAACTCAGTGTGTTATTATGCCGGATACAGTTAGACCAGAAACAAAAATACTTTGGTGCTAATTCTGTGAAGGTCTTATTTGATTCCTCTTTCATTCAACACACCTCACACAGAGAACAGGCTTATTAAAGCCTCCAGTGTCTTGATTTAACTCTCAGTATGTTCACTTAATTTGTTATTTTAAAAGAGCTTGTGTTCACAACAAATTTTAATTTGTCCTATTTTGGTGTTATATAAATGGTTATTCATCAAAGCTCAGTGCCTTCCAAATGAGCTCATTTTATTAATATTTCCATATTTTTCACTCTAGACCACTGGGAAAAAATAATTATTTTGCTAAACAGCCACTTCAGATGTCTGTTTCCAGCCTGATTCAACAAAGTTCGAAAACCAGATTCTGGAGGCTTCAGTATCACAAAACTGAAACAGCCTGAGTGAAAGCTGCTACTGTAATAGAGGCTTTTGAAATACTTCTTTCAAAGAAAATCCTATAAGAAACAATGAACACGCTGAATAAATGACCAAAATCCTTACAAAAAGTTCAAAGACACATATCAGAAAGATACCATAAGACTGGGAGAGCAATCTACACTTCTGAGTTAGCTTAAGGAGATCAGCATCCCCTTGGCTGAGGACGGGTGGAAGAGGAAAGAGACACTGCACTGTTGTACTGCTTCTCTTCTAGTACATTCTTCTGGGATCCTCTAAGCAGAGTGAGTGGTAGGCATGAAAAAGAACTTCCTTTTAAGTGCTACATTAATTATTCAAAATTCAAAAAATTCTTTTTAAGTCACCAGGCTAACACAATCAGCTTTAGGTTGGTAAAAATCAAAAATAATTTGCATCTTCTTGATGATACTATCGAAATGCCAGAATTTATCCATACCAGAATTTATCTATTTTCATAGAATCATAGAATGTATTGGGTTGGAAGGGGTCTCTAAAGTCATCTAGTCCAACCCCCTACAATAAGCAGGGACATCTCTCACTAGGTCAGGTTGCTCAAAACCCCATCAAGCCGGACCTTGAATGTCTCCAGGGATGGGGCTTCCACTACCTCTCTGGGCAACCTGTTCCAGTGATCCACCACCCTCATGTTAAAAAACTTTTTCCTAATGTTCAACCTAAATCTACCCTTTTCTAGCTTCAAACCATTACCCCTCACCCAATCACTACCAGCCCTTGTGAATAGTTCTTTTCCTGCCTTCTTATAAGCCCCTTTCAGGTACTGGAAGGCCGCTATAAGGTCTTCCTGGAGCCTTCTCTTCTCCAGGCTGAACAACTTCAACTCTCTCAGCCTGTCTTCATATGCGAGGTGCTCCAGCCCCCTGATCATCTTCGTGGCCCTCCTCTGGACACACTTCAACAGGTCCACATCCTTCTGGTTTTGGGGGCCCCAGAGCTGAACACAGCACTCTAGGTGAGGTCTCACCAGGGCAGAGTAGAGGGGCAGAATCACCCCTCTCCATCTGCTGGACACACTGCTTTTGATGCAGCCCAGGATGCAATTTGCCTTCTGGCTGCAGTTATGCATTGGTGGCTCATGTCCAGCTTTTCATCCACCAAAGTCTTTTTCCACAGGCCTGCTCTCTAGCACGTCTTCTCCCATCCTGTATTGATACCAGCAGTTGCCCCAACCCAGGTGCAGGACCCTGCACTGGGCCTTGTTGAATCTCATGAGGTTCACCTGGACTCACCTCTCCAGCCTGTCCAGGACCCTCTGGATGGCACCCCATCCCTCTTGCATATCAGCTGCACCACCCAGCTTGGTGTCATCAGCAAACTTGCTGAGGGTGCACTCAATGCCTCTGTCAATATCATTAACGAAGATATTAAACAACACTGGTACCAGCACAGACCCCTAAGGGACACCACTTGTCACCGTTTTCCATCCGGACATCTGGCCATTGACCACTACTCTCTGGCGGCAACCATCCGGCCATTTTCTCATCCACTGAACAGTCCACTGGTCGAACTCCTATCTCTCCAACTTAGAGAGAAGGATGTTGTGGGGGACCATGTCAAAGGCCTTGCAGAAGTCCAGATAGATGACATCCGTAGCCCTTCCCTTGTCCACTGATGCAGTCACTCCATTGCAGAAAGCCACTAGGCTGATCAGGAAGGACATGTCCCTAGTAAAGCCATGCTGACTGTCTCGAATCACTTCCCTGTCCTCTATGTGCCTTAGCATATCTTCTAGGAGGATCTGTTCCATGATGTTCCCAGGCACAGAGGTGATGCTGACAGGTCGGTAGTTCCCAGGGCCCTCCTTTCTACCCTTTTTAAAAATGGGTGCAATGTTTTCCTTTCTTCCAGTTACCCGGGCCTTCACCTGACTACCATGACTTTTCAAATACCATGGAGAGTGGCTTGGCAACTGCATCAGCCAATTCCCTCAGGACTCCAGGATGCATCTCATCAGGTCTCATGGACTTGTGTATGTTCAGGTTCCTCTGATGGTCAAGCACTATAGTATCTGTAGCATGAGATCTGCCTACTCTGAATTCAAGTGGTTTTGAGAGAAGGATAAGAAAGGGAAGACTGACCATGTTTTTTATGCAGTGAGCAAATCTGAACAAAAGCTTTGAGAAAAAGGGATTCAATGTCTTGAGAGCTTTGATCAACAAAGTACCCAAAACAGTGATAACTTTGCTTTTCATGCTAATTTAAAGTGTCTATTGGGAACTCAAAATAGATGTAGTTGTCTCAAGAACTGTTTATGCAAGCTGTTCAATGCCCTATCAGATGTTTTTCTTCTACTTAGTCCCCACAGAATAGTGAAAAATTCAGGTGAGACTGATTCAATAACAATGCTGACTACAATCAATTCTGAAAATAAAACTACTAACATAAAAATAAATTTAAGTCTGAATAGATGCATCTGTATGAAATGTCATTTTAATGGCAAAAAAAAAAAAAAATCTAATCCTTAATAAAATACTGAAACTCATGTTGAAAAAAATATAGAAAATAATAGATTTAAATACAACTTTTAGTAAAAAAAATTGACACTCCTCTTCAATACTCATCTATACAAATGCCACAAGTCAAAGCACGTTGATCTAAAGCCATAGAAGTACATAGAAAAATTCTTATCAGCAGCAATAGGCTTTGGATCTTACCTTAATGGTCAGGCTCTGACATCTTAATCACTTAAGCAGATCCTAACTCTGAAAGTTATTTCAGGGATTTCAATAGAATTATCACAGAGGATTGCTTAGCCCGAATAAGGATGGCAAAAACAGCCCATAGAGACCTAGCACA